AGCTGGTCTCATGGACTAGATAATCTACAAAAGTTTCTAGACCACATTAATAGTTTGCATCCATCGATCAAGTTTACTTTTGAAGTACAGAAGGATGATAAAACTATACCTTTCTTAGATGTTCTTTTCACTATACATGATGATGGGTCGCTAGGACATAAGGTTTATAGGAAACCAACACATACAGACAGGTATCTGCATTATAATTCATTTCATCATCCTAGTATCAAAAACTCTGTGTGTAAGACACTCATCAACCGAGCGAAAACAATTTGTGAGGTAAGTAACGTTGACAATGAATTAGAACATTTAAGAAATGTTCTAAAAACGAATGGTTACCCACGGCATTTCATAGATAATGCTATGAAAACGCCACAAAGTATACAGCAGAAGATTGAGTATCAGTCGTCTGTTTGTCTACCATACATTGGCCCGGCTTCACACAAAATCGCAAGAATTTTGAGGAATGAAGCAGGTATAAAGGTATACCATTCCAGCGAAAACAAATTGTTTCGAGCTCTTTGCACACATAAGGACAACGTAAATGAATCTCAGAAACCTGGTGTGTACCGCATTCCTTGTGGATGTGGTCTGGTTTACATTGGTGAAACTGGTCGAAATCTCTCAGTACGTCTTAAGGAACACAAGACGAATTGCGAGAAAGCCGAGCAAGATAAATCTGCTGTGGCTAAACATACTTGGACTTACGACCATCGTATAAAATGGGACGAAGCAACCATTTTGGCGATAGATAGTCACAAGTTCTCTCGCAAAATGAGAGAGTCAATTGAAATTGAGAAGCACAATACTATAGATCAGGAGGGAAAGCCACTAGATAGTACGTGGCGTGCTCTCTTTAATGTGCAAAATTAATTTCTCTTGTCTTGGATGCGCGCGCGTTAATTGGAATCACTTGACTACGTTTGGAATGACGTGGTTGATGTGCCGTTTAATTAAATTTCAAATGACGCGAGCCAACAGATCACGACACTTTTGTATATAAAAAGAGCGTGTGAATTAAACAAGTCACATATTATTAGCACTGATAAAGATCCGGGCTTACGGATCGAAAGCTTTGCAGTAATAAATTTACGTGGTGTTTCCACAAACAAAACCTATTATATTTTATCACCATGCAAACATACAAAGAACTTATAACGATGAACAGTCGCGCATAAAAACATTGCCTATTCGCGTGAGAATCTGAAGTTTTCATATTTTGACATAATAGCTATTTTTCAATAAATATATTGGTATTAAACTTATTGAATCAATATTTTAAGTTTCAGGCCAGTTGTACCGAAAGGACGACGGATCCGTTAACCCGCGAATTTTAGGCCGGGCGAAATGTAGGTCTGTTTCAGGCTAGGTTTTGACATGTACGCACTGCGTACCTATTTTTAATGCATTTTTAATGAATACGTTTGAAATGACGTGTTGATGTGCCGTTTAATTAAATTTCAAATCACGCGAGCCAACAGATCACGACACTTTTGTATATATAAAAAGGGCGCGTGAATTGAACAAGTCACATATTAGCACTGATGAAGATCCGGGCTTACGGATCGAAAGCTTGCAGTAATAAATTTACGTGGTGTTTCCACAAACAAAACTATTATATTTTTAATACTGTTGCTATGCTTGGATGCTTGCAAAACTTAACACACAGATTAACGTTTTAAACAATTTATTTATTAAAGTATGAAAATTTTACATAATTAAATATATCTCTGGGGGAACCAGCGCCCTATATAAGGATATAAAGAAGAGCAGAGATAGTCTTTTAATCAAATTACACATCGTATTACAACGACCATAATTGAAAAGCAATTTATTGAATGACTCGAAGTTACATGCTTTGTCTATACTGGTATGTTTTTACACGTTAATACTGTACTTGACTTCAACCCTATATTTGACCTGTATTAATCGTGTCTATGAGCATCATCATTCTCTTCATCATCATCATCATCATTCTCTTCATCAAAATTGTAACCCTTTAATATCCTTCTTATAAGAAACTTTCTCTTATCAACAGCTGCTTCCATGGCTTCTTCTGGATCAAATAATCGTTTTCCAACAAGCTCATCTTTTGTGTGCATTATTTTCTTATGTACTGGGTACCAAGGGTCCCTCTCTTCTTCAGTTTCATTATCAATCGAACTTTCAGACCCATGAGTTGCATTTGTGGAGAGTCTGGAGATTTCGTCTTGGAAATCCCTTTCCTGGCTATCTAAGTCCGTTTGAGACATGTTTCTTTCTTGTTCGCGTAGTGGACAGTATTCCTTTTCGTGTCTCCGTAGATTGTATCCACGGTTAGATTGCCTTCTGCAGAATTGACAGCTCTTTCCGCTATAGCACTGACTGTGCTGAAATGCCTTGTTATTAAGCGACATTGCACCTTTATGCCTGCTCATAAGTCCCGTTACGTATACTTGTGTTTACAAACAAGGAACCCCGAGGGGAGCCCTACAGAATCCTTACAGAACCCCTACAGAAGCCTTACAGAACCCGAGAGAAACCACAACAGAATCCCCCCAGAATCCTTATAAGCAATGATATATAGAAAACTTGAATTGTTTGCGGGAGCACTCATGCCGAGACGATTTCCTCGGACCTGTCGGGTTTGCGGCCGGCCTAATTGGGTTTGCGGCCGGTTGTGACGTGACGTGACGTTCGCGTGCGGTCACGCACGCAAGTGGTCCGCGTTTTCTTCGCATTTTAAGATAATTAACAACGCTTTCCTTCGGAATATCATCTTCAACGCTTGGTAAAAGTTGTTTCTACAGAAATTGGACGTTTGTATAAAGTTTTGTTTTCTTCTGTGCGTGATTTTGGACGTTTTGTTGTTCATTTTGTCAACTTGGAAACTGTAATTAAAATTTGGACGGTTACTGTTTACGTTACGCTAGCCAATACGCCACGAGTATGCTGATGCCACGGCGCAAATTTAAACGCTCGGACAGTATCGGAGCGCGTGCGGGGCTAATTAAAACAAGAAATTACGCGCGATTTTTCTGGGAAAAAGACGGAGTTAAAAGTTTTACGCTTATCTTAACAATTCTCTGGTTGTGCTCAAAACTGAAATCATCAAATCAAAATTCCTACCAACCTACTCTTAATGGCATTGTTATTAATTCCGAACTTGCGATTTTGCCAGAAAAACTGTGTTTAATGTGGACGGCTACTCGCGATTTTAAACAGAGAAAATTCAACCTTCCATCAAACCACCGCTATGGGCTAAACTTCCAAATAAATCGGAAATTATTTCACGTCTTTTTACTTATTCTTTTGGCTGGTGATGTGGCAATAAATCCCGGCCCGTGTTCTTCCCAAAACAGTGTAATCAAGTGCTTGGCGCTAAACGCGAGAAGTCTTAAGAGCATTCACAGAGATCCAGAGTCCAATCGAGCAGTTTGTAATCTCGAGCGCTTTCAGGACCTTGTGTATAATGAAAACTCTGATGTTATATGTGTCAACGAAACCTGGCTCACTGACGAAGTTAGTAACAAAGAAATTTTACATTCTGGCTTTACGATTTACAGGAAAGATAGAACAAATCGTTGCGGTGGCGGAGTCCTGATTGCAATTAAGACGGAGACTTTTAAATCTGTTAAAGAATACCAACCTGACATTGAAGATTTACAACAACTAGAAATCGTGTCAACCGAAGTAAGAACAGCTAACAATCAAGAACTTCTCTACTGTTGCTGTTATCGTCCACCCGATGCAGATCTTTCTTGGACAGATGCATTTAACACATTTTTAAACCACGCATGTGAGCAATATCAAAACATTGTAATTTCTGGCGACTTCAATTTCCCAAAAATTCAGTGGGACGAGATGGACAAAACGAATAGTGTTAACGATCTTCTCTTCGTGGAAATGTTAAATGATCACTTCCTATGCCAACTCAATAACACTCCTACACGCGGTAACAACGTACTAGATCTGGTGATTACAAGTGTCCCAAATCATGTTCGCTTGACAGAAACTTTATCTCCAGAACAATCATCGGTCTTTACATACCATGATGCTATTTCGTTCGATTTTACCGCTTTCATTAAAGCTCCACGAAAATCTGTTAGAACAGTCTACGACTACGCGAAAGGAGATTTAGATGGTCTACGCACTGCCCTACAGGCAACAGATCTATCTTCATTAATATCAGATTCTGATAACATTGACAATGATTGGCAACGTTGGAAGAACACATTTCTTACCACAGTTTCTGCCTTTATACCCAAGAAGAAAATTAAAGGTCGAAATCCGCTACCATGGATTAACAGCGACATCCTTCATAAGATCAAAAAGGACTCAATTCGGCGGAAAATAAAAGTCAACCCTACCAGTTACTTGCAAGAAAAATACAAGAGCCTTCGTTCTGAAATCAAGAAATTGTTGCGTGAAAGCCGTGAGAACTATTTTGGTTCAATCGACAATAGCTTTAAAGATAACCCAAAGCGATTTTGGTCCGCATTAAAGCAAAGATCAAAGTCTTGTAGCATTCCTGATCGTATCTCCATGCCTCCGTCATCCGCTACTGCATTCTTGAATCATCCCGACCAGTCAAACCTCCCTTCCAGACCAATTGCTACAAACCCTAACGAAATAGCTGACTTCTTCAATACCTACTTCGCCTCCGTATTTATACATCCGAAAACCTCCCTGTTCAACATCCTAACAGGACAGATCCAGTTTTAACTGAACTCAAAGTAACTGAGTTAGAGGTAGAAACTTTACTTAACTCTCTTGATACTAACAAAGCAACCGGATCGGACGAAATCCCAGCGAGACTTCTAAAAGAAACCGCCTCAATAATCACTCCCTCCATCTGCAAACTATTCAACAAATCATTGCAACAAGGAACGGTGCCTCAAGATTGGAAACTAGCGAACGTTGTTCCCGTTTATAAGAAAGGTGACAAAGAATACACAGAGAATTACAGGCCAATTTCTCTCCTGCCAATTATTTCGAAAGTTCTAGAACGGTACATTTTCATGAACATTCGACAACACTTTTCTGGGATAATTTATGATCACCAGCACGGATTCCTCCAAGGAAAATCTTGTGTGACTAATTTGTTAGAAGCATTAGATTACATCGGCGCCTGTCTGGACAAGGGAGGGCAGGTAGATATGGTATACCTTGACATGTCAAAAGCGTTTGACCGAATCAACCATAAGCGATTGACGCAGAAATTAGCAAATTCGGGTATTGGCGGTAACCTACTAAAATGGTTTCAATCGTACTTGACTGACCGTCGTCAACGTGTTACTGTACTTGGTGTAACATCGAAGTCTCTACCAGTTTGTTCAGGCGTTCCACAGGGGTCAATACTCGGTCCTGCACTGTTTCTTCTTTACGTGAATGACCTACTCGAAGCACCCACGTCCAGTCGAGCTGCAATGTTTGCCGACGACACCAAGATATTCTCCGCAATTCAATCACAGAACGATGTTTCCTCTCTACAAACTGATCTTGGAACCCTGGAACATTGGTCAACAGTATCTGGGCTATCATTCAACCAATCCAAGTGCAAACATCAAACGCTAACGCGGAAAAAAGCACCAGTTGCTTCCTCGTACAAGTTGGACAACTCAATCATATCCATTACTGACAACGAAAAAGACCTTGGCGTGTGGCTGTCATCAGATTTAACGTGGAAAAAAACATGTGAACGAGCAGACAGCGAAAGCGAATAAGATTCTGGGATATGTTAGAAGGAACACTTTGTTTATTAAAAATACTGCAGCCAGACGAGCGTTATACCTGGCATTGGTTAGGTCGCACTTTGGCTACGCAACACAGGTTTGGTCACCACAGTCAGTGGAACTTATAAGTAAACTCGAAAGAACACAAAGACGTGCTACTAAATACATCTTAAATCTACCGTTTAGGACAGCTGTTGACTATAAATCGAGGTTACGGTATTTAAATCTTCTTCCAGTAAGCTATTGGCACGAATACTTGGACCTTATCTTGTTTTTCAAAATCACACATGGTTTAGTAACGCTAAATCCCCAAGTGTCGCCAGCTATCTTCGCCACTCGTAGAACAACCCGATCAACCTCATCAAACAAACTGAAATATGTCATCCCTAAATGCAGAACTACCACCTACCAAAAATCTTTCCTCGTAAGAGCGTGCCGAGTTTGGAACTATCTTGCAGATGAACTGAACTTTACTAAGGATACTAGCATTTCTGTATTTAAATCAGATCTGCTTAAGTATTACTTTACATCACTGAACATTAATTCTGATCCTGAAAACTCTCGAACATTTAAGAGTATATGTCTGAAATGTAATTGTATTCGAAGCCTGTTACGTCCAATATCGTGTTGCAGTTGAACTGTAAATAAGATCACACCTGTAACGCATGTATGTGTATATATATATGTGTAATGATAGTTTTGTGTCGGGCCCGCAGTAATTGGCTATTCGCTGTTGCGGTCACCCAGCCGTGGTCATGTACCTACTGTATTTCATTATGTACGTTTGTTTTTGTCCTGTCATGCAATGTACTGTTTCATCGGCAAAGTTTATAAATTAAAAAATTAAATTAAAATTAAAATTAATTTAAAGAACACCAGTACACATCTATTACAAGTTCACAGCTTACTATCCAGGGAGAGACAACACGTTCTTAAGCATGCACAGGTGTCGTCGTGGTGGGACTTTATTTCCATAAACGATTTTAGCATCAAACTGTTGTATTGTTTTTGCTTCTTCGCTCGCTTAAAAGTTCAAGCGACAGTCAAACCATGCGCGTGATGTCACTGAGTACACTGAGAATTTTGAGTAAAATTGTTTACTGTAGCATCTTCTATACTGACACGCTTCGCTCGCGTATATTCTCACAACACTTCCCGCGTGCATTATCACACCATAAACGCACGCGACTCTATTTCTTACTAAACTAAGCTTATACCATAACTAAGTTATTTTTACCTGTATTGGTTTGGAATCGCTCTTATAGATTGCGAAATAATCCGGTTTGAGAACGCATTATGAGCAGCATATTGGTCAAATTTCGTGCAAAAACTGCAGATTTGTTTAGGTTTTGTCCGGAATTCAGAAAATAGAATATTTCACTTTGCTCTAGAACGTGTTGTAAGTGTTGACCATATCGAAACGGGGCATGCAGGTTTGAGGCAGTTTTGAGCATTTTTCATTGGTAAACCTATACTGTATCCAAACCTAATCCGAAGCCCCTGCTCTCAAATAAACCCTCTCTTAATTAATTAAGCTGCCTATCCACTATACGCCCATTTTTAATATAGAATTTTTTAACCCCCTTTCTATTACGCGCTTTCCCCCTTCGCTTCAACAGCAAAGGAACATGTGATTCATTGCTTGGATTTGTAAACTGAACTGCAACCAGCTCAAACAAAATGTAAAGTGAAATAAATATTTGAAGTTTTATATGATAAACCATCATGACCAAAACAGCCAATATGAGTGTACAATATCCTATAATTGCAGTGATCCCATGCAAGCCTTACAATATATAATGTATATTGATTTTCAGGACGGGCGAGGAATGAACTCAAAGCTAGAAAGATTCCATGATGTGTTTACTGATTTCAAAGAGAAAAAGGACTACGTCATATACCTTCAAGACGAAATAAAAAGGCTTAAGTAAGTTTTCTTGTTTCACTTGTCACTGAATTTGCGAACAGCCATTCTTATTGATTATAATTCTACTGACAGCGTGACCAGTTGTTATGATAAATAGTATAATCGAAAGCGGCATGATAGGCCCGGGATGCAACTACTTAGTCAGGGACATAGCTATATACATTATTCATAATTCGCAATCCAATCGGGTCCCCGTTTCCTAGTAAATGGGAATAAACGCGGGGAGACTGCCTGACAATTGAAAGTTGACTAGAAAAATGTTAGATATAAAATCGATGGCTTTTTGTAAAAATTATATATAAAAGTCAGCATGAACGTAGGAGTAATGCTTTCATGCAAGAAGCTGTATATATGGTCATTTTTCTGAGTATATAATTACGGTAAAAAATGCTGGGGTAAATCGGAAAAGGTAACTGTTGTATAGGTTGGCTTGCATAGCAAAAACCAACAAACAAACTAGGCAACAAACGTCTACAACTTCAAAATCGTAAGAAATATGAAATTATTGTTAATTAAAGAAATAAGATTACAACTCACTCAGTTAAACATAGCTTTCGTTTTTTAAACTACCGGTAGTTAGACTTCTAGACTGCTTAGTTGCAGAATGTCTTCGAGCCGTAGGCACAGTTCGTACATAAATAAAAAATTTTCCATGCGAATAAATAACGTTTGAAAATCTCTCTTGAATTTTGACCCCTTGCCCTTGTTCTCTTTCATAATAATACCAAATTACGTAAATAAAACTTTCCTTCCTTTGTTTTCTTAATTGGATATTTCACGGAATAAGCGTTATACAGGATGTATCAGAAATAACTACACGGTTGGAAAAAGTTCACTAAAGTCAGATGCGCGCGACATTTGCGAAAACGTTTAGTAAACCTATGTACTTTAACGTTCTCTGGTGCATCTAGCACTAAAATTATTTAAAGTGCTAGCGTTTTTAGAGTAGAAAAAAAAGGCCTTGCGCAAGAAAATTTTCATCGTAAACAAAATTTAATCTTACACAAGCTCTCAAAGTTTCAAGAAATATGGTGCACGCGTTGACCAACACGAGATCTTCAAAACCTGAATTTTTTCCCATTTTGTTATTTCAAACGTGATTTCTTTGCATGATTTCAAATTAATTTTATGTATGCTGGGATATTTGCATAAATTACAGTACGAAATTCGCAAGTCAATGGACCAATCCCATATTAATCAAAATGTTGAACTCAACAAATCTAGACAAAATTTTCATCACAGCTTGAAAGAGCATCACAAAATTAGCAATATTCCAAAGTTTCGTTGCGAAATGTTGTAAAATGCGGATAATATAGCCTTGCGAAATTTCCAATTTTCAGTCATTTTGTACATTCTCGTACCCAGAGCCCTTCTTACACGCGTTCGATCGAGCGCGACGAGGGGCTCTGGCCAAATCCATAACCGGATACCATAAAAACATTGTAAGAAAACAATATCCGGTGTTAGAACTAGCCAATCAGATGCCAGTTCGGATATGGATTTGGCCAGAGCCCCTCATCGCACCGCGCGTAAGAAGGGCTCTGGGTACGAGAATGTCATTTTGTATTACAAACGAGAAATGGTTACCACTTCCGTGCGTAATACAAAATGACTGAAAATTACAAACTTCGCAAGGTTATATTATCCGCATTTTACAACATTTTGCAAATACGTTTAGTGCTAGATGTACCAGAGAACGTTAAAGTACATACTATTAGGCTTACTGAAAGTTTTTGCAAATGTCGCTCTCATCTGACTTTAGAGAACTTTTTCCAACTGTGTAGTTTTTTCTGATACACCCTGTATATTGACGTTAAAATTTCAATAAAATACTGTTTTTCACCTGTGGATAAGCACCATCGCTACATTGTCATATTTTCACATTTCCACACAGAAAACTGGAGAAAGAGCGGTCGTTTTCATAACAGTCTCGTTTCTAACTTTCTAACAAAATTTTAGATTGTACATACAACAGTTGTTATAAATTGAAATAAACAACAAGAAAAAATCTGTCAAAGACGACAGAATAATAAGGCGTTCTGAATTTAGCCTTTCAGCGAGTATGCCAGCTTTCGCTTTCCCCCCGTTTATTCCCGTTTCCTAGGATACGTGGCCCCGATTGCGAATTTTGAATACGGTATACAGCTATTTCAATTAAGGTTGTGCCCGACGAAAGCGGAAAAGTCGAATACGAGCGCGAATGGTTTGCTGGGAATCGCCTAAAAATTAATGAATTTTTTAACGATTCCCAGCAAGCCTTTCGCCCTCGTATTCGACTTTTCCGCTTTGCGCAGGGACAACCTTGATTGAAATAGCTGTGGTCATAATTGTAGTTCTTCAGTATGTGGAAAAACCAATTCCAGACATTGTCTTTCCAAACAATCTTGTACAACACGATTTGTTTCGTCTTCGTTGACATCGTGAATATGACACCTTTTTGGGAGAAATTCTCGAGATGAGACCTAACCAGTCTAATAAATGTGTATAAATTTCCATCACAATAGACCCATTGCACTGACGTCACAAATCCTTAGAGTGTCCTCCAGATGCTCCCTAACAATATCTGTTCGGGTACAACAACCACATACAGCCCAAAAATTAACCATTTTAATACAAAATTATTATAAACTTTTACAAAATTTGCTTTGTTTACAAAAGTTATGTTATGCATAGATTGCTAATTTGTCCTTCAGATGCATCGTCACCGGCGCTGTGACGTCATGTGCAATGGGTCTATACCATTCAACTATTATTATTCAATCGAGTGAGATGCCAACAAAATCTTGATATTTAAACAGATTAAATAGGCTAGCCACATGTACGCAGTGCGTACCTATTTTTTATAAATATGCCTCGTTTAACGAAGGACCAAGGAGTTTCGATTTGTTTAGCATATATGCAAGGGTAAATAATGCTCGTGATGTTATACCGGCGTCGTTGGGCAGGTCTCTGAAAACGAACGTGTACTTTCTGACTGTAGTGCGTCTAGACCATTGAACTAAAAATAACTGGAACGATACCTTCAACCGGAAATGTGAAGCCACGCCCAGGCATGCCCACTGTTGTGTTGCCCAGTCTTAGTAAAACTTAGTAAAAAAAATGCAGTAAAACATCGTTTAAGACGACGTAAAATGCACCTACCAGTACATTTTTTACAAATAAAAACATTCTTTAAAACTCTAGAGTAAAATATTCTTAATTTATTTGTGTAGAATTCGTAATTAAATTTTCTTTTTTGAGAAAAACGTTGAGCGAGGATTGGAGCTTGCCGTGGTCTAATCATACGTATTTGTGTGAATTTCTCTACTTTGCTCTTTCGTTTTCCAATTTATTCGTCAGAAAGTTAGGAAAAAATATATTCTAACAAGATCAAACTACCAACCACAGTTTAATTATGTTTTTAGTAGAGTATTTATTAAATTTTAAAGGTACAAAATAAAAAAATATAAACATAAAGACATTAAAAACTTTTTTTTGCGGACAAGTATTTCATGTTGCGATTATTCACATTCGGCAAGAAATACACAGAACAAGTCGTCAACGAAGGCAAACAAAGTGATAGATACAGACTAAATAAATTTGTCTTGTTTAACAATCTATGAAGTTATAACAAATATATGTTTAATACGTTAAAATAAAGAATTACTTATCTTTCTCAACTTTCATCTACATATATAAAACGTTCCAGTCATTCAAATATGCACTTGTTGTCTCCAATCAGCTACTCCGTTCCTTGCAATTTTATTCAGTAGGGTTCAAGATATGTTTTAAATGCACTTTTAATACAAAAATATAGTTTAAAACCCTAAATAAACGACAATTTTCGATCCATTCGCCCGAGAAAAAACATTCAAGTCACTGCCGAAATGGTCTGGCGAGAAGGTCTCGCAACACAAACGCGCGTGTCTGGAGGTAAAACACGCGCGGCTGGAGGTAAAATTTGGCTTCATCAATCATAAGCCAATCCTATAGGAGGTAGCGTTCCAGGTATTTTTAGTTCACTGGTCTAGACACATGTTATTGCTGTATTACTATTTGATAGGCCGTTTTTGGCCTTGTGGTCGTTTGAGCACGCTGACCCCCATTACACTCTGCGCGTGTCTGGATGCGTTAATACCAGGGCGCTTATATATAGGGCGGTGAAACGGCTATAGGCGCGCCGATCGATGTGTGATGCAATGAACTGGTAACGAGTTTGTTGTGGTTACTATGGCGACTTTGTCTTATGGCAAGGATAAATATGGCGGGAAAACTGAGCTGGAAATTTTGACTGTTTTGTAGTCAAGTTTTGATGAAGAAATAGACATTGAGGGTAAAATTCCGATGTTATACGATAATTTAGTAGATTCTGCTATTGTATTTTCAGGTAATACTGCCAATATTTTAGAGTTTTTTTCTCAAAACGTTTGCGAAAGCTTACGAACGGTTGCTTTCGCAAGGAGCATGACGTGAAAGGTTTTTAAAACTCTTCGTATGTACACGTATCGTTCACGTTCGATAGAATACAATTCACAATTAATTTTAGGCACTATAGTTGATCTTTTCAGTTGAAAATCAAGAAGTGCTCAACTTGAATTTGTATTTTTTTAACGAATCCTTACGAGAAGATGTCTTGGCCAGCCGGTCAAAAAAAAATTAAAGTTGGGACGAAACTTTTTCGACTATTGCGCTCAACAAACGTCCGAGCGAGTCGTATTTTGATTCAAAGGCCAAGAAGTAAAATATGTTTACGGCTCAGAATTACTTCAATTGAATGCCTTAAAAGTCGTACAAAATTATTAACATAATAACAAAAAATCATGACATGGCCAAAATACAATTGTTGGGGGTTTTTTTGCAGCGAAATAATTGTCTAACGAGGCAAAATTTAACACACAAAAATACCTCACTTTCCAACGCTGTATATTCAATTGCTCAACTCCGAGTCTTATGAAAACTTTTGGAGATAAGCACATAATTATAATCTTTACCATCAACTGAATTTCGAAGTTTGGACGACTTGATAACATGCCCAAATGCTGTTTTGAAAATTTCCCTTCATTAAAGTCATCAAAATCCCGACTCATTATCCTCAACATTTCTTTCAAAATTCAACTATACACGCCAAACAAGCATTCGTACGATACTACTTCGTCGTTACAGTGCAAAAACATCCTCAAGAATTTCGTAGTTAATGAAAAAACAGCGAAAATACAACAGCAGGAAAAATCGCGCTCCTTGTCAACTTTTGCCTAAAAGCACGCTCATGCCAGTCCTTTTCCACATCACACATCGATCAGCGCGACATCAGCGCGTTTCACCGCCCTACGTATAAGCGCCCTGCTAATTTACAGGGCGCTTATATATATATATATATATAAGCGCCGTGGTTAATATCATCCTATTGCACCACATGCTCTTGGTGAGAGCAAGCTCATGTGTATAAATGCGATCGTATCACGTATCTAGACGTGTGCCAAGCTGCACTGATAAGGCGTATAGAACACCGAACCAACATGTAACATATTTCAGTATCCCTGATTAAGTTTCCACAATACAGAGTGAATCGTAGGAGGACATATGGCAACAATGCACAAAATCTATTATGGTGATGAACATTTGAACAGTATATGTAAATGACTCTTGTATGGTAATTGGTAAAGTGTTGCCCGGGCCCAACTTTTGCGATTCTACATCTGGATGCATATGCATCAAGTGTAACATTCTCACTTGTGTTTGTAGCGAAACAATTGAAAATCTAAAATCACAAAACGCAGTGGCATTGATGAAACTCACTGGTGAGACTGACAAAAGACGTGAAGTTGAATCACAACTTAATTGTGCTGAAGATGAAAAAGAAAAATTGAAATTAGAGCGTGTACGATTACAGATTAAAATGGATGAATTGAGGATGAAACTTCAACAAGGTAATTAAAGCTGGTAGTGAGAGAGAATTGTTGTAGTAATAATTCGGTAACATAACCAAAAATGTTACTGGTCTTGAAGAAGCACCAAACGTTTGTCAAACCTTCGACTGGTTATTTCAATTTTTGGAACCAAAAATTGAATTGGATGCTTCGAAGCCCTTTCCTGGGGCATTTGTGCCGTTACATTTTCTTATGAAATAATATCAAATTTTGTCTGCTCAGTAGCTTGCACGACAGGGTCATTGGGAAAAGAAGAGCCTGTAACAATCTAAACTATGATCCCCTGCGGGCTGCGAATTGCTATTGGCTGAAATACCGGAATAAGTAAAAATTAAAAATCAAGGCTTATCCATGGCGCCGTGTTTACACTGTCAGAGCGGCTTCGCATGTTATAAAGCCTATTTTTCAAAAGAGAATAGTGCAATTTGAGTTTTAGGCCGAAATCTAGCTCCAAAATGGAAAAGATGGATCTGAGACTTCAGGATTTATCTGGTTGCTACGGGAAGTACCGACAAGAAACGACAACGTGTTTCGGAGGATAACGACTCTGATGCAGCAGTGATCCGAGTTGAAGCCAGTTGTGCATTTACAAAAACAGTGAAAGTCGTGCAGCCGTAAAAACAAAATGATAACGTAAAAACATAATGTACTTTTAAAACGTTTTTGCATGCTCTGCATGAGCGGCTCTGTTTTGCTAATACCTTGTGAAATTACAAAATAATAGTTCATTCTTCATCGGATTTCGTTTTCAAACTAAATGTTTTTCATGTGTTTAAAACAAAAAGTATTTCGTTGTCGGTGAATATATAAATAGCTTAAAATATACATTGTTCAGAATTGTCATTTCAAAAAAGCGTTGCAAGCAACGTAGAAAAAATATGAAAAGTAATTGTCTATGTTTAAAAAGATTATTGAACTCCGTATATACTAAAAAAAAAGTTTTTACTAAAAATGTATATGTACTAAAAAAAATAATTTTTGAAATATTTTTTGAAACATACCTAATCACTAATGAGTTTGTCTTGATCTTTTGTGTTTTGTTCGGCTTTCACAGCAACCTTGAAACTGTATTTTTATTAACTATTGTTTTTCGTAGGAAACCTGAATGAAATAGGTTTCTTGCAAAGTTTCCGTCCTTTTTTGCCATTTTAAGTCGCGATATTAAATCTTTTTTGCAAACTTTGTTAAAAAATAGGTACGCTAAGCGTACATGTATCTGCTCATGGTGATTGCACTGTTGCCAAGGGCTTCGATCAATACTCAGTAGCTTGTAAAAATATTAAGAGACTGATGTTTAAATGAATATACATAGTTGACCAGTTAAATGAGGTTAGATTTATAGTATGTCAGATGAAAAAATATATTCAACTTGCAGACACGAATTTTGGCCATAACTTCACAAAGATGATATTCAGTTTTATGATGTTCTTGTTGAATCATTTCAGTTTTATAATGTTCTTGTTAAAACATGTCGGGTTCCAAATCTTCTTGATAGTTCATAATAAACTTTAGCAGGCATGCGAGAACATTGTGGATGCATAGTCATAGATGTCGTCAGGATAACAGGTGTTGCCAATATACACTTGCAGAGTTTTGAAAGCCTTTTTATACCATATTTGATACATGACATCAACATTTCTGCTGTTTATAATTGATCTATTTCATTTTAAAAATGTCATAGTCTGGGTTGATGGAGCACAAATCAACTGTTTATGCCAAGTAAATATATCAAATACGTCATATATTGAAGGTCAGTAATAAATGATGACAAATATGGAAATTAGAAGTATAATCGATGCATATAATTCTTGAATAGAATGATATAATTCAGCATACCAGATCCATGCAACAATATTTTGTCATGGAAGAAAATCCAATAAACAGAATAGTAGGTTTAGTTTTGTACATTGTGTGCTATAAATAAGATCCCATTATGACACATGGTTGTTGTTAATTGTAAGACAATATAGTATGGGATAGGGGAAAGCCAAGAGGGATATAAATTGCTTACCTGGTGTTCTTGGCAATGACATTCAGTTGCAGAAATCAGGGTGGATGAAGAATGCCCCCCCCCTCCCCCCAAGGATATATAGTTATATACGGCAAGTTGATAATTATGACTGGTTGCAACTGTTACTATAAGTGTTGATATTCCAATCTGAAGCTGAATTTTATGCAGCAACTATTACTTTGGCTCAGTGCCGTAGCCAGAACGATAATTGGGGGGCACATATTCGTGTTCTGCTTTATTAATTTCTTTTGAAATCAATTGTTGTGTTATTGTATGTGAACACGAATATATGAATATGTGCCCCCCCCCCCCCAATCTATCATTCTGGCTACGGCACTGCTTTGGCTTTGTTTTAATGAAAGCAATTAATCAATGCACAAACTGCTTTATGATCAGAGAAATGTTTCCAATATGTGTGAATTAGCTTGTGATTCTGTTAAATTTGTATAAAAATGATCTATCATAGTCTGGTTGTCTGTAATGAAAGCAGACACCAATTGTCTATAGTTATGACCATTGATAAAGAAATTATATAAAGGCCTTCTATTGATTTCATTCAACTAATTTATATTAATTAAACTCACCAATGAAAATGTTAAATTGAGAAGTACATAAACATCAACACTTACACTCGATATACACCAACAATGGTAAGATGTGGAAAAATCATTACTAGTTTCATAATAGTATCTCAATGCCATTAGTCAATAATTTTTTGTCTAAAATTGCGAATCATTTCGTTTGCACTGCGTATTAAATGATGAAACCCTTCAAATGCTTTCCAAAAATACACTCTCGACCTTTGCCATATTCAGACAAGTAAAATGACGTTGTTTTGACTGCGTTTGATGTTTAATTTTAATTGTAAATTCACAAATTTCCTTTCGTTTCACCCTTCAGTAAACCGCCATTTTGAAATTATCATTTCGTCATTTCATCTATACGCTGTCGCTGATTGGCTAGAAGCACGATAGCAATATATCTGCATTCGCAGATACAAAAAGAATTCACATTACCCGCAACCGCGCGAAATTCCGGTGCCGCAGGAGTCTCGGGCGAGTCAAAATGCCCTCGGAAATTCTATATCTACTATTCTTATGGGTTGGTCCCAGGGGTTGAGAACGAAGTTACTGCTCCATAAAGAAATTTTAAAGATACCTAAGATTCGATAGCTTCAAAGACGTTTTCAGTGGCCTATCAAGATTGCATATCCATGGGAATGGTAAGCTGAAATTCTGGCCCTACTTTTAATGGTGAATGCGCCCATGTGTCCGACGAACTTGGACGGATCAAGTTCCTATACAGTTCTTGAGCAGTTCTTGTTGACCGACAGTTTATGAACATGCCACACAGATTACCATCTCGACTGTGAAAAATGGTCCATTTCAATGGAACAAGCAAGTAATAGTTTATGGATATTTGAGGAGAACGACAATACGAAATGCACAGTTGCATTGTCTCGGAATTGCAATATTTAGTTTATATTCTCAATGGTATTGCATTTTCATGCATCTTGGATTGGAATTCAAACACATACATAAGCCTAAAGTTAAATTAGATTATTACAAACACGCTTTTCTTGTAAGAATTATCAAGTTATGGAACGACTTGCCCGGCCATGTTTTGGAAGCTGATAATCTTATAAAGTCAACGTGTGAACCATATGGACCTGTTTTAGGTGATGAATTAATTATATAATTCTAACATTGTAATGTTAGTATATTGTAGATACTATTTTCATTATTATTAGCAAGAGGATCTTATTATAGGGATAATCTCCAGTTTCTCCTGCAAGTACCTTGATTCATCTTCTTTCTTTTTATATATCATTTTCTTATTTGTATCTTGTTATCTTGAATAAATTGATTGATCGTGGTATCTATAGCATGCCGAGATAAGAAAAATTAATACCTCATTTTGCTCCTGTTCTCAAGTTCTTTATGCTAGTGCAAAACATTTTATTGTAGCTATGATGCTAAGATTAAGATTAACATTTCTATTGCGCAAATTTATACGTTGATATGCATGATCAAGTGCGCTTTACATCAAGTATTATGCGCTTACCTAATTACATACTTAGCCTAGTCTATTTCATATTTACAACAATTTATGTACTCAGGCGAATATAATGTTTTTGATGTTACTCTGAGTGTATATCCACGCCGGACAGGCTGTAAAGTTAGCCTGACCACGGTGGGAATCGAACCCGCGACCTTTGGGATACTAGTCCAATTTGCTCTGCCAACTGAGCTACGAGGCCAAGGCTGTTCGAGTGTGGTATTTCGGAACTAGTCTTGTACCTTCGATACCAATGTGTTCTATGATCATGATATTTTTTGTGTGTGTTTTGATGTTATGTACTCAGGTGAATATAATGTTACTGTGTATATCCACACCGGGCAGGCTGTAAAGTTAGCCTGACCACGGTGGGAGTCGAACCCGCGACCTTTGGGATATTCACCTGTGGACTAGTATCCCAAAGGTCGCGGATTCGATTCCTACCGTGGTCAGGCTAACTTTACAGCCTGCCCGGTGTGGATATGCACTCAGAGTAACATCAAAACATCATAATTTTGATATTGCTCTTAACTGTGTCTATCCTAATCCACCTAGACTTGGTTCAAGTTGGTCTCAGGAGAAAAGTAGGAGAGACGGACTTGGGACAATTGCAGCATTTCGAATGTTACTTGCAAAAATTGGCGCGAAAATTTGTTGTTGTTCTCAACTCGCAAGCCACGCCTCCGTATAGGAAAAATCCGACGGTAAAATTTGGCGCGCTTGCAGGGTATCCAAGTCCGCCTCTCCACCGTCCAACGATTTGAATTAAATTTTACGTCAAATAAGCCACTTATACAGCCACTTGACTATCTCATCTAATTTATTGACTATTCTTTCCCCATTTCTTTCCCAAGCTGAAAATAAAGAAGAGTCGCCAGGAGCGTGTTTAAAGAGAAGTGAAAGTTCAAAACCCTCACTTTGGAAAGATAACAGTTTATTTACGAAACCTGAAAATGGAAAGAAAACTGAGATTGCGAATGAAAAGTCATTACGGGTATCTAATAACACCGTCACTACAAAACCTGCCTTGGGGAAAAACACAACCGATATTATATCCGACCACACATCCATTAAGGAATCGGCACAAATTCCGTCTACAAAAAAAACAAAACCTGTTGGAATGGTTACACCTAGTGTTAAAATGGTTCCGGAACGTACAGAAGTACAACAACCTGACTCGACACAAGTCAATCATGTAAATAGAGAATTTGATCATGATCATGGACCCGGTGAAAATATAGAGAATAGATCAACATCTAGGGAACATAATCGGGTAAGCTAACTATTTCTTCTAGGTTTGGACGCTCTAAGCAAAATACTCAAGTCCAATATTCATCCCAGAGATGGCGATACGTCGATTTTTCCTCAATACACCCTTAGGGAAAGTATGTCACCTTGGCTATACAGCCTCGTTGTCGTATATGTGACGTTAGTTAAATCCAAGTATCTCAATCGCAAAAAAACGGGGCTCTATAGCTAAAGTGTGTATTCTTTGCGAACACAGATAGATATGTCGTTATATTACAAGCATAAGCAATTTTAAACAAGCTAGCGTGCGCAAAAGTGCGTAAGCAATCATATTAGCGTTTATTCGTGATCATGCAGTTCACGTAGTTCTTTCATTCAGCGCGCGTTAAATCAATCAATCCCTTTGCTATTTTCTCACTTCTCGGGTTGATTACTTTAACTTCCTGTTTTACTATTATTTGAATTATTTATTATTACTTGAATTTTGTTGCCTTGTTTATATAGCTCAAATCTTGAGTTTACAAGATTCCGAATGTGTTTCATCTTTAATTATATACATGAAAAAATTTCTCAATTTTGATTGGCTAAGAGCAATGCACTTTTTCGAAATACAATGCTAAAAAATGAAATACAGTGCGAAAAAAAAAGAAATACAGTGAAGATTGAATTGACTATTTAGCGTTTCTGATTGGCTTAAAAATTAAAATATGAAACTATAGTGCAATAACAAACATAGCCAATAAGATACAACAGAAATAATACAAAACAGAAATAATACAAAAAAACAAACATTTAGGAATACTGCATAATGTTTTCATGTATATTATTAATAATTATTATATGGCAAGCGTCACTTCCGGTGCAATGGCGGACTGTGATTGGCTGAGAGCACATTCAACGGTTCATTATTTTCCCGTAATGGACCGGCCGGTCCATGCATCATGCACGTAAAAACAAACGCATGCACTTAAAACAAAACAGCAAAACTAATTGAAAATTTGAGTATTATAATTTAATTTGTTATTAATAAGATATCTGCGAATAGTTTTTAGTGGAAAAGAAGGAATACATTGGTATTTTTTGTTTTCTTCGACCAAATGTGTACCAAGCGACTAATATTCATGTCAAATCATGCATTTCTTGTTTGTTTCAAGTATAAATTCCATATAATAAACTTTTTATTAACCTCGCTTGCTCGGTATGTACATGCAGAGAAATATCGGACCTCAGTCGTTTTGTACAACCTCGCCCTAGGATGGGCTCGGTCTGTACAAAAAAGACCTCGGTCCGATATTTCTCTGTACAGACCTCGCGTTTGGTTAATATATAAGAAGATAGTAATAGTATATGGTTTCTCGTGCAATTTAAAAAAAGCATACACTCGTGAGTTTTCCAAAGTTTGTCGTTCGGACTCGTGCAATTTTTGATAGTCTTTGAAAAACTCACTCGTGCATATTTTTCCAAATTGCACTCGAAGCCATACTATTACCTATACTAATAATATACGTGATAAAATTTCTCAATTCTGATGAGGAAATGCTGTTGTGGACTACGGTAAACAGCTTGTTGAAGCAAAACAACTCAAATGCAAAATGGGTTTATTATATGTGCGAGTTTTGTAGTATATCCACCGGATAAGCTATCCTTGCATCGTGCAACCACCAGTCGTTTGAAATAAACTCCGTGTTCACAATAATGTTGTACAACTGATTTACTTTCTATATTACAGAGTGTGAGAACAGTGAAACCTCGTCGTGTTATTCATGTGAAAAGAGACGCTAGAAAGAACGAATGTCAGCAGCAATAAAATCTCAAGGTTATTTAAAAATTAGAAATTCAGGAATTATACCCAATTTAGTTTACATTTCTGTTATAACAAGGCGCGCAATAAAGTGCATTTAAACAAGTCATTTCTTTAGCTGAGGTGTTACCACCACTGCAGTTGTTGGAAAAGCTAGTGTTGCGAAAGATTAAGGTTGATGATGAACGCCAAAAACACCTGTTTCATGCTGTAGGAAAATTGAAATATTTAAAGAAACTTGATTTAGGGTTTAATGCTTGTAAACAAAGACAATGGCTAAACATAGTTTCATATTCCTACTCCTGTGCGCGATACATCATAGTTATACCTGGTTATACCATGATCGCGTACGCTCAATTTAAAATTGTGTACATTATATTAATGTTTTGAATTATGCTATTGTTTGATCAAGGCAGAAGAGAATGGATCACCGTAGTTAAATCTGTTTTCGCCATTAAATCATGTTTCTTCCTATTATATAGATATATGTAAAAAGTAGTGGCGGTCCCTGGGAGGAGGGGGCAGGGGGACCTTTCCCAACAGGGTATATGCCAACCGGGAAGTTTATTTCCACATACTGTACAATGGGACCCCGCCATACGACCACCTCGTTAATACGACCAACCCGATAATACGACCAACGACCACCTTTTGATGTCCCCAAATCTTTAGTACGACCAAGCGTTTTTCAAAGATGTTATAAAACATTTACGGCACAGATGTTAAAAAAAAAACATCTGTGACGTAATTTGATTTGATTGGGCCTTTTCATTTCACATTTGTATTTAAAAATACCTTATTTCCGCCATTTTGTTTGTTTTGAAAAAATCATACAATACAATACAATACAATACAATACAATACAATACAATACAATACAATACAATACAATACAATACAATACAATACAATACAATAAAGGTTTATTCACAATGAAACTGAAGCATGCAATTACAGTGACAGAGGAAAAGGAAAGTTTGAGGTTATCCCTATATTAAACTTCCTTAAATAAAATAATTGTTAAAAATTACTAATTAAAATTACAATTACAAATATATGAATAAATTAGATCTTTAAATAGTCCTTCAGGGCTTTTTGGAACGCTGAAAAGTTATTAGCCTCTAAAACGTATTTTGGCAAAGCGTTCCACAAGCCGATAGTCCTTACAAAAAAAGAGTATTTGTAACAGTTCACTCTACTAGCCTTAACACATAGTTTATACGCGTGATTTGCTCTAGTTGACTTTACTCTAGACCATTCGAAAAAGTCCAAGAAGTTTAGCTTGCATAGCCCAAAGACAATTTTGTAACATTCAAGTAATGATAAATAATCCCTGTAAGGAAAGTGTTGTCCACCCCAGGATCTGGCATCTTTCTTCGTACGACATCTCACCTCTTTTTTGACGCAAAGCAAGCCTGGATGCTCGTCTTTGTACTTTTTCAATTGCATTAATGTCCTTAACAAGATATGGGTTCCAAACAGGTGCAGCATATTCAAGGATGGGTCTAACAAGAGCAATATATAACATCGAGAAAACCTTCATGTTTGATGTACCAACTGATCGTTTAACAGTTCCTAGAATTTTGTTTGCTTTATTAACTGTGATACAAACATGTTTACTCCATGTTAGGTCACGCGAAACAGTGACTCCAAGATCTTTAAAGCTTTCTGTATCTCTCAAGATTGATGTTCCTAAAGTATAACTTGATTTTAGCGTATCATTGGAGTGGGTTAACCGCATAGTTTCGCACTTTTCCACGTTAAATTTTAATTGCCATGTGTGTGCCCATTCATCCACGGGCAATAGGACAGGTGTAGTGTTGTTAAATAGAAAGTTAGAAATGGTATTGTACTTACTCATGTATTATAATTATGTTTAAAAGATCAGAATATTCATAACTTTATATTTTGTTTCATAAATAGTTCTTTAATATTCGAAACAAATTCCATATCTGCTTCGTCTGCCATCGCCATGTTTACTCGTCCCAATCTACATGCTGCAGGGCATTGCCGCCCATCCTGGCAAAATAATAAGCAAGCGAGAAAAATTAGAAGAAAATAAGAGGGTAGGAACATTGTGGGCGTTTCGTGGGCTTATCATCGTTCTGGGCGAATCAGCTTTCTCAATCTTGTATCACATGACTAATTCAAATCGTCATAGGCGGGAAGCAGCATTACACGTCATCCCTACGTCAAATAAAACGTTATAAAACGCGTCGTGGATACGTTTGTGCCATATATGGAAGTTATGGATACGTTTGTGCCATATATGGAAGTGTCACTGCATCCAGCTTATGACAACGATGTTCCTACCCTCTTATTTTCTTCTAATTTTTCTCGCTTGCTTATTATTTTGCCAGGAGGGGCGGCAATGCCGTGCAGCATGTAGATTGGGACGAGTAAACATGGCGATGGCAGACGAAAGAACTATTTATGAAACAAAATAAGAAGTTATGAATATTCTGATCTTTTAAACATAATTATAATACATGAGTAAGTACAATACCATTTCTAACTTTCTATTTAACAACACTACACCTGTCCTATTGCCCGTGATTCATCGAGACTGTTTAAGTCGTTTTGCAAAATATGCGTGTCCAAGACAGGATCTTTTATTTCTCTATAAATTTTAGTGTCATCGGCATACAGTTTGACTTTAGATAAAATACAGTCCGTTATATCATTAATGTATATTAAAAACAAAATTGGTCCAAGTATTGTACCTTGGGGAGTGCCTGAAGACACTGGTGACCATTCCGAAAAAGTCCCTCTGATTACAACACGTTGCTTCCTGCCTGTAATGAAATGCCTAAACCATGTCAATAAACTCCCTTCGATACCATAACTTCTTAACTTCAAAATCAATTTTTCGTGCGGCACACTATCGAACGCTTTTGCGAGGTCAAGAAATATAACATCAGTGGAGCCCTAGATCTCCACTCAATCATCAACAGCCGAGTTTGAATCGGTTATATACCTCCACCGAGCTTCATTGCACTTCCTTTTCAAATTGTTATTCATTTGACGATAACGAATCCAGGTACTTTCATTTTGGCTCCGTTTTGCTTTTTTATAAAGTAGCTTCTTCTTCCTACATAGAGATATTAGCTCTTTGTTAATCCACGGCGCATTTTGTCTTTTTTCCCTTTTGTTTTCGGGATGCATTCATCTACTGCTGCAAAAAACAGATCTTTCCATGAATTCCAATTATCATCAATACTCTCTTCAAGAAATGCTAAGTTCCATGGAATTTGAGACAACGTTAATTTCAGTTGTAACCAATCAGCTTTTTTGTAACAATAAACATATTTTTTGGATTTAAGCTGGACATATGGTTGTCCAGTTAATAAAAACGTAATTCAGGGTTCGTACGCCCCCTGGAAATCCTGGAAAACCCTGGATTTTTATTTTAGTCCTGAAAAACCCTTGAAAACCCTGGAATTTCAAATTTATCCCTGGAAAACCCTGGAAAACTGAGAAACTGAGCTGGGTATAGGATTATACCTATTCTATTTTTAAAACACTCTTAAAAAGAAAGATTGAACAAAAGTTTCTTGCATTATATATAGTCGCAGCATTTCTTGGGCATACGGCGCGACCTTCCGTTCAAACTGGCACAAACTCAAAAAGTATCTGTGCAAGATGAAGTACTAGCCGTCGCGAACGTTTCTTATCCGTTAAACACTTATAGATTTATATTTCAAATGCCCCTGGAAAAACCCCTGGGAAAAGGATGAAAAAAGTCCTGGAAAACACTGGATTTTTTAAATTATGAAGGTGTACGAACCCTGGTAATCATATTATGGTCTGAAAACTTTTCACCGACTGATAGGTTTTTTATGCTATCAGATGAAGTTGATAGAACAAGATCAAGTATATTATGTTCCGTCGTGGGTTCAGTAACCAACTGAGTTAGAAAATTGTCCTGAATGATATCCATTAATATTGAATAATTTTCAGAGTTACTTAAAGCAGTATTGTTCGACCATGAGAAATCAGGCAGGTTAAAATCCCCTAAAAGCACAAGGTCAGACGTAGACAGTTTGTCCAGATTAGTTCTAAGATCAATTAGTGGTTCGGTGTTTGAATCCGGTGGCCTTTAGAAAACTCCTAACGTAGTTCTCCGATTATTCGAAAATACAATCTCAACAAACATCAGCTCTGAGCTACAGTAAAGATCATCTCTGGGATAAACATTGATCGAGTTTAATACCGCAATTAGGTCCCCACCACCATGACGTCCATTTATATTTCTGTCACGCCTAAACACCGTATAATTATCAGGAAATCACCGATGCTACTGTCCAGGTGCGTCTCGGTTAAAACAATAATATCGTAAGAACCATTAGCTACTTCCAAGTCCAGCTTGTTTACTTTGTTAACTATACTTCTAGCATTTGTATAGAAAACAGCAAGGAGTCTATGCCCTTCCGGATTTTTTCATTCATAGCGTAGTGTGATTGAAGCTCTTGATAAAACTGTCTAAAATCCTAAGTTTCCTTATTTTTGTCCTGCCGTTTGGCCTGTGATACCCATGGTCGTGCGTACACATTCTCCGGCCAAAAATCATTTTGCAAAACCCGTTCGTAATCCCTACTATTAACATTAATGCGAATGGCCACAGTATCTTTTCTTTTACTTTTGAAAATCCTTATAACAGTTGGAGAAATACCTTTACACTCCATATATTCAGTAACCAACTCCGATGTCGCGCCCTCCCGAGCTCAACCGAGATACAATCTCTTTACCACTCTTCTTGCTACACCAACAAATTCAGAGTTGGTATTATCGTCGAGGACGATCTGTTGATTGTTATTCACTTCCGATTGATTTTGGTTAGTCAATCCATGTTCTAGTGAAATAATGGTATTTTCTGAACCTGATCTTTTTGTGTTTGACTCTAGGGAATGATTAGCTTTTTGTTTTACCACCGCAGCAAATGTTATTTCGGACCTATTATCATTACTATTATCGTTTGGATCCTCTGACTCGATGTTAATCGCCATAGGCCTATCATTGTCTAAATTTTGATTAGTAGCATTCGATTGATTTTGAATGTTTTTAAATGAACGTTCCGCATCATTAATGTTAGAATTTGCATATTTTTTCAAATTGTCAATTTTTTTGCATATTTTCTGGGTTGATTGTTTGAGCTCTATTATACTTTCGCCTTGTCCTGTCAGCTTAATATCTATACTTTCTGGTTTATTTCTCGTACTTTCAGAATCAGTTTTGTAATTCCCTTTAAGTGTAGCTAATTCTGACTCTAGCGATTCAATTTTAGCTTGTTTTTCACATAAATTATGTTTCAAATCCGACACTTCAGTCATCAAATCTAAACGATTTTGATCAAAATCGTCCCTTAAGGTTACAGGACACCCTTCTTGGCGTTTTGCGGAAAAACGCTACTGCGCGCTCAATATCAGTCTGATTTTCATCAAATCTTCACCAAATGTTCGCCAGTGCATGCAAAATATGGTAAAGTTGTAAAATTAACAAACAATAAAATAATGTAAGAATTATTCAGGAAAATCTTAAATCGCGGTACCTTTACGCTTTTGAGTTGTGCTCCTGCTGGTTTTAAGTTATATTTATGAAAATATCATTTTTATACAGTAAAAACGTTGTTCTAAAAAATTGTGTTCGGAAATTTTTGTTTATTTCGTCATTCCGCTGATATGGCGATTTCTTTGACGACTGCAATATATTTCTGAATTGTTTGAGTGAATTGCTCTTTATTTTTAAAATATCCAAAATTTAAAAAAAAGCCGAACACAATTTTGAAACCGACGTATTCAGCTATGTCCTGTGAAAATTTGAGAAAAATTGGTTAAAACCCGCAGGAGCACAACTCGTTTGAAAATCCGTAATTACCGTAAAATTTTTCGGGAGAAAATTGAATTTGAATATTACATTTTCAATGTTTTTCTTATTGCAGCGAAATGTATTTTATCAAATAACTCTGCGAGTTTTCAACATTTTTCGTCCAAACTTGGTCAGATAGTGCAACGAGTCTAATGCTTTCATTGAAACCAATAAAAAAAATTTAGGCAAAATTAACACTCAAAGGTGTTCTGTAACCTTAACTGAAAGAGTTTGACATCCAAATCTTCGGCTAATTTTATAAAATGCTTAGAACCTAAAGTTTTCAATGTCTCCTGCGTTGTATCAGATGACGTGATCGTAGTCGTAGACTTTTTAAAAATCTCGTTAAATTCAACAGATATTTCACCTGAAGTATAATACTTTATCAGGGTTATTATGTCGGTCGCTAGCTTATCGTTTGCAGTTCGACCACCAAGTCGCGTTTGCCGTCTTATCAGTTTTTCTTTAGGACAATCAGAAAACTTCCTTTGACAAATCTGTAAGATTAATTCTCTCTTCGCGAAAAGATCGGCTGTACTGTCCTGTGATAATTTTCCCTTTACTTCCTCAGATGATGTTACAGCAATGGCCCGCTGTGTGTCGTTAATAAACTTCAATATTTCATCTTCCTTGCTTGTAATTTGCTCTTGTACATGAACTTCGTCGACAGAGTACACTTCAGTAACAATAAGGCTGTTATTTTGAACGATATTTGACAACAAATCAGCCAGATCACTGCTGTTATTGCTGCAGCAAGCGGAGCTCAAAACATTACGACTATCCGCCATGTTGCTATGATGCTATTCAGGCCAACAAAAAGAAATACCTGGGTTTCCTATTTCTCATTGCCAAGACTTAGGTAGGGTTTTCTTGTTTTGTTAATTTTTTATAAATGCTCATGCATGAGTGACATTCTACTTAATTTTCGGCAGCATAGATGGCACAAACATTTGTTAAATGTTATATCAACTTTGAAACAAACAGGTTGTACTTTATATACATTACTGTACAAATTTTAAACTACGCCATGAACTGGGTGTACAAAAAATCTGTGGGCTAACCTAATGCAACTTTTGGTTGGATAATACAAAAAATGGAATAATAACTAGGGGTTGGGGCAGGGTTACTTTCCTCCAAAACGTGTACTTTGCCAGCCTATACTGTATTTACTGGCTGGACAATGACACAGTCACACACTGGTGTCTGCTAAAGTGCAGTTGTACCATAAGGTCAGACTGCTGGCACAGATATAACTATTGGTGTGATTAGTGTAAAAGTTTCTATTTTGTTGAATTACATAATGATAATGCAGGGCTCGAAGTAGAGAAATATTATGGCCTGCCAGTCTAAAATTTTTTGGCAGGTGAAATAAATTTTAGCCTGCCATTTTTATTCATTGAACTGCCAAAATGGCAATGTCTCATATGAGTCATATTGTAAAAATCAATGTTTTCTTGATATGCATTTTTAGTGTTTTTAAACTTGTTTATTTTACTACAGTAAACTTGGATTTACATTTCAAATATAAACGTATTTAGTCAACTAAATGATCTAGTATATATGAGTTGTGGTAAGCAAATGAAATGAAATATATCTATAGAATTTCACCTGCTATTTTTTTTACTTTGGCAATTCAAATTTGTTTTTGCCTGCCATTTCTAAAATATGACCTGCTTTTGACCATTGACAGCTCGTTATTCAACCTCGTTCCCAGGCTCTTTCCGGAGCTGGTCACGTGACCCATAGAAAATTGATTGCCCAAGAGGGGATGGAAAAGTCTCATATTACATGTTTCCACTTCCGCACTTCGCACTTCGATTGCAAGGAGTGGCCAGAACGTACAATCATCTTTGAGAATCATATATACTTCAAACTACTTGCTAAATTGGTTTCTGTTTTTTTAAATTATACAAACATGCTAAAATGCAGATTCTTATAGCAACAGAAAAGTCAGGAAATCAAGCAACGAAAACGTATGACTGTATGCTTTGAAATATTTGCCCTTTTATTTTCTCGGGGTTCGGGCGTAGTTTCATTTCACGCGTACGTTTCTGTTCTGGCTCTGGTTCAGATATTTATAATATTCCTATAATATGCCGATGAATTGTTCTGATATGGACACGGTATAAATTTTGTTAAACAGATGTCTCAAAAGCGACTGTGTAGGTCGTAGGACTAGCGCCTTGCTGGTCTTAAACGTGACACATTTGGACACAAGCTAAATACACAATGAATGTCCATTCTATTGATTCTAAAACTGTTTATAGACATATTTTCTCTAGATTTTTTTTAAAAGGTTATCATCGTTTATATTAAACACCAGGACGACAAAATGTAACATACAAAATTGTTTGGGATCGACAGTGCACAACTGACATAGGACAATTCACAACTGCATGCATTTCCATTTTTGTCTGCACGAGTACCTGTTTGTTGAAGCCAGAATATTGCACAGCATCTCCTATAAATTCTATCGCCATTTACCCTCTCCCCTTAAATGCAAAGGAATGACAGCCGAAAAGGTTTAGCAAAGTATTTTTTATTATATTTGGTATAAAGTGTCCCTATACGTTTTATCAGGGATATACATATACATAATTCATAAACTGTATATGCGCACGAAGTCTCGCTTATATTAATGAGTTTTACTGTAATAAACCTTCTAAAGTTTCCATTGATAGATAGGCCTCCAGTATCGTTTGGTAAAACAGACTAAACTTCTAAAATGTCGATTACAGTATACGATAAGGATTAAAGTTGATTTAAATATTGATAACTCACAGCGGCATTAATGACAACATTAATCCATTACACAAGTCTAAAGTAGTAAAGAAGCTGGATTTTAAGCTGGATTATTCTTCAACAAAGCCCTCAATGGGCAATGCTAATGAAAGGTCTAATATAAGATTTATAATGTACCTGCTGTAAATTACTGTATACGCAAAATATGAAATAATTTATATAAAGTACAATACCAGTGTCTGGTGCATATATCGTCCTAGATATTCAAGTTGACCGCACGCACGGAAACGCACGGAGGAGGCGTTTGTGCGATAACAGATAGCTAGCTATACTTCGACATAATCTTTCTTGTAAATGAAAGGAATTTTATAGTCCATAACGGGTTTTAATCCTGTGCTTTTACAATCAAAATAGCACTATTTTTTACACATGTTGGCGATGTTTGGGAATTAATCAAAGGATCCCGTTATAAAATAAATCCTTTGTTTTGAATATCGGACAGGATACACTTCAACTATAAACAACCATATCGTTCGTTTAATACCGTTTGATCGAACAGTCGGTGTAGAACTGTATATATTGATGTTTCTACGGCGATACGTGCTAAACTTCGCAAGCCAGGCGCGTGTGGAGTGTTTTCCTTGCAAGTGAAATATGATCCAGCTTCTCGCTTGAAATGTAACGCAACACTTATTAGTCTTATTATTGATGACATTCAGTATAGCAGGAAGTCTTGTCATGATCGGTACGAATTTAGAACAGTTCCTTTCACAATCTCTTGTTGCAAATTACATTTTTATCACCCGAAATTATAACACATAAAGTTGCAATTTTGCAAACGCAACAAACGGATTCCTCTACTACCCCTCCCTGAGATCAAATTCAATTTACCCTCAAAATCTGGGGGTTCACGTGACCAGCTCCGACCAGGGTCTTGCTTCACAAGAGGAAAGAGCCTGGGAACGAGGTTGCCCGTTATTTCGATCCCTGATTAATCTCTTCCCCGAGCATGTGCCGTTCCGCAGGTTGTTCAAGAGGTGGGCATAGCTCTGGAGAAATCGAATTGATTCAGGCCTGTGATTGGCTAACGGCAGATAGTACGTTGGATTTCCAACGTGAGTTCTATATAAACAAAGTATTTGGAATTTCTCGTCGAAAATTTGATACTTCGTATACCATAAATTCTGATAGAAGAGTTAAATGTAAATTTTAAAGCATCAAAATATATAATACTTATTATTGAGGAGATTATATTTATCAGCAAAGGTCAAGTACGATGTATACAAACACTAACAGCACAAGTCGAAGCGCCTTCGCTCGAAACATCGAAGTTCTCCTTGTATTTTCAGGTAGCTGTATCGCTATCCAACCGAAGCTTTCGTACATATTTCCCGCAGAATTTTTAGTTGTTTTCAATTCGATTTCAGTGTAAAATGTATCAAATTTTCGACGCGAAATTCTAAATACTTTATTTATATTTTGCAACATTGCCGAGCATGCGTAGAACTCACGTTGGAAATTCAACGTGAATCAATTCGATTTAATTTCTCCAGAGCTATGCCCACCCTTAACCTGCGAACGGGCATGCTCG